CCCGAGCTTCGCATGCGGATTCTCGCTCTCTGTCTCTTGTTCGGACTCCACGCCTTTGCAAGCGCCCTTGTCTATGGATCTCTTCTCGCACTGTGGTTCCATCAAAAGTATCAGCTCGATGTGGGTACGCTCGGTCCTATCATGGGCGCTGCGCAGGTGCTTGCCGGGTTCAGTTCCCTCCTCGCGCCGCACTTTGCTTCTCGATATGGGTTGATTCGTACATGTAGGTATTCGTTTTATTGTGTGCCTTGCCTCTCCTTTACTTGGCTTGGCTCTAATCGAGCGCCCCAACGTGATGCAGTGGTGTTTACGGACATGCCGTCGAGTGCCATGGTCGGTTTGCTTCCTTTCACAGTTCCCAACCTTGCGGCAACCACTTCCCTCCTCTTTGTTCGATCGGCAATCTCGGAAATGGTAATTGTCGCCTTGCAGTTTTCTCCATTATGCGCCACTAGCTTACAAATCCATCACCTCATCAACTCCCGTCCGTCAAAAGGACGACGCTCCACGTGCAGCTTACATCACATCGATTGTCCCACCACACTCACGCACAGCCATTTTTGGAATCGTGAGCGTTGCACGGTCAGTCTCTCGATCAATCGCACCGAGTGTCACCGGGTACCTCAGTGCGAATGGGCACTTTGACGTCGCGTTTTGGATGAGCGGAGTGCTGGGGATCCTCTACAGTGAGTGGTAGTTGCCGCCATCTTCTGTTGGCGTAGGTGGAGAGGCTCCTTTGAGTTTATCACTCGTCACTTACCGCTCCGTATCCCTTCAGATCTGATGCTATTCTGGTCGTTTGGCTCGATCAAACCACCCCACGAAGTGTCGGATACGCCGCATTATGGTGTCAGCGAGAGTGCAAAACCTCGTTTGTCGGATGTAGGGAGAGATGGTCGAGTGGACGAGTTCACAGCTGCACCACCTCGGGATGGTAGCCGTGCGGATCATTTGCAGTACGTCAGTGAACACACACCGATGATGGCGGCTTTGGATGATTACGAATGATGGTGGTGTGTGTGATTAATATTTAGAGGGAAGTGGTCGTTAAATGTATCAGTGTTGCATGTCTGTGAATTGTGATTGATATTAATCTATGAATTATATATTCTGTGAGTATTACTGATAGCTATAGGACCAGGGTACTCTCCAAAAGGGACTGAACTTTGAAGCCCTCAAGGTGTATGTAAGCTCTGTACATAGTAGATTTGAGAGACTGTACAGACGTGTAAACACTAATTGGTTTCCTCAATCTGCAAAGCTACATCCATAGTAGGAGGGAGAAGATTGGAACTGGGACAAGGAGATGGATCACAAATTGCAAGTGCATGGTGCTTTATAATGTGGGGTTGATCACATGCTCACTGTCAGACAGACAACTGGTGATGATCACTTTGTGAAAGAGATGTGATATAGTGACTTGTGTGAGTTCTGTTCTGTGACATCATGGTGTTGAAGGAACTGTGATGTGTTGTGCAACACTGCAGCAGTGACATACGGGGATTGACCTGCAACCACAGTCTAGTATATAGCTACACGTGCTAGATATCTATACAAAAGAAATCTAGGAATACATAGGGAGTACAAGCTGGACTCACAGAACTGTCATGGTGATGCAACAGATGATTTGATGGAGTATCATGGGTGCCGTGCTGCTGTACTTGATGAGACCTTGGCAAACCCTTGCATATGATCTAGTGGTCAGTGAACACTGAATTATGTTTGGTCACCAAGCAACAAGCAAAATACCTGTATCCACTGACCCAGATTCATTGTGCTGTACTGCTGTGCTGTCAGCTGTGTGCATCTTAATTCTCATTAACAGCGTATTTTCAAACCTGTCCATGAATTCTACCAACCACCTGGGACTTTTGTTCTTTTTGTAATTCCAAAGTAGACTATTCCAGTAGCTTACTAATTGGAACTTGCTTGACTGTTTTTGAAGGTTGGGGATTGTGATTCGTATCAAACCCGCATGTAGTGGGACACCTATTTCCTGATCCCAACACCGCAATTCCAAACGGAATGCTCTAAAAATTATTGAGGCTACATGAAAGGTCTATTTGAACACAAAAATAAATCAGGGAAGGTGCCAGGCACATGTGTGGGTTCCTCTGGTCCTGACGAACATCTGTGTCATTTCCAAATGCCAGGTGATTGGAAAACGCAGAATCGCTTGTGGTATGTTCCCACAATTGAGGTCACTATATGTCTCAACCGGATGTTGAACATCCCAGACAATTCCCCCTTTGCCGCGGTTTTCTTCGTGGCCGAATGTGCTCTTTCGAAATACAGGAAACTTTGCACAGCGCAAGACAAACAAAGCGAAGTCAAGCGCTCTGTTACTGACACCATCTGCACTAAGCAGACAAGTTGCGTGGGAGGAGATGCCAGTGAGTGGGTTTTGGCAGTTGTGATTGTTCTTATTCACAGCTGACCACTTGAGAGAACAATTCACAACAACATCTTCAACTGGACGAACCGATAGCTATCACTCATACTTAGTTTATCTTTGTGACGGGTGAAACACAACATACAAGAATACTTTCAGTTTGTCAGTCTCCATATCCAAATATGCAAGCAGTGGTTGATGGCGACGCACCACAAATGGTATAAAATGCACACATTTCGCACATCAAAAAAACAAACTCACTCTGCTTGTACAATGTACGCAGTGCGTGTTTGTTTATATTGAGGTAAAGTACAGACATTTCACATGCTGATGAGATGCCAGACCATTTGGAATTAACCACGCCAAGTACATATTATGTCCACATTGGAGCGTCATCAGAGCACCATTGTCAACCAAATAGATTAAAATAGACTATTCTTGCTCTATTATGTATGGGTCTGCAACAGCTAGTCTGTCCGGAACTAATTCCCAAGTAAGTGATGTGGTTGAGCCCACACTGGAGTGTGGGCATGCAGGGAACCAGTTAATACTTAGAACTTCCAAATCTGTGACTGTACAATGGGTCAAAATATGCAATATGTAACAATGTTGACTTCCAAAAACCAGAATTACCAATTATGTAAGGAAAACTATGTAAAAACCAGGAGCTTTGTGCTCACAGATGTGCAAAACAGCTTGCAATGCACGAATGGATGACTGTTTCCAATGGGTCCAAAACTGCGCACGCTTGGTACATACACAGGACAGATTAGATTATTCACAGACCACTGTCCTTAGATGAGTATTGGTGTTTGATAACTCAACACAATTAAATATGTTACACACATGTGAGAATGCATGTCTGCAGTTATAATTGAAAGCAACTAGTGAATGGGTCACCAGGATATTAGCGATGCATAAGGGCATCAGGGTAAAAACCAAAAAAACCCCAAAAAAAGAAAACACAGTGACTGAGACGACTCAGATTACAAAATTGATCAAGGGGACCGCCTTTACAAAGTGAGAAAACCAATTTTCATTTTGGAGGGTGTCGTGTCATCAATTATGTTCTCTATGGATTGAGGAACCTCTGTTTATCCTTCCAAACCTGACACATGGAACTTGTTTGATGCTCTGTCGACGGGTCTTATAACCACCACCAGTGATATAGCCTCTGAGTACAGGTCATTCAACATTCAGTACTTCTAGTTGTTGCATGATCATGTATCTCCATGGTTGTCACAATATGACCCACCATAATTATTCTGCAGTTGGTGGGTCCAGAAGTTGGACCACTAGGAAATGCTTTGACTTGTGAGAATGGTGCTCTTCTGAGAATTGTTCAATCCCACACAAACTGATCACTTTGTGATGGTGACAGGTGATGTAATAAAGCTACTGCAGATGTGGGTTCTGGTCAGACACTTTTTGATGCTTCATGGATAGGAATCTGGACCATGAGTGCATTTGATGTACCCAGTATACTTGCACATAAAGAATTTTTGAGCACCCAAAGCTGAGTGAGTGGTCACAGTGTCATGGCCACAAAGGAAGAACAAAATGTGTTCATTCATGCAGGTGAGTTTCTGCTGTGCTGCATGTATGTCTATTGTCTGTCACATGGGAATTGCTAAATTGAGCAGTATTTAGACAATATACACATCAGCAATCATCAATGATATCAACTTCCCTGCACCAAGGTAGTGAAGATGGACACAAAATTATCAAAAATTTGGCTTTGGATGTGGAGACCACTCCCCTTTGTTGGTTGCGCCAATCGGGAATCGAACCCGAACCTTTTGCTTGGAAGGCAAATATCCACTTAAAAATTGAGCTCTGTTGCATTTGCTTCACAGCTGCTTGCAAAAAGATTGACCCAAGCAGCACAAACTTGAAGCAGACTGCTGAAATACAATATTAATGTGTTCTCCACCCCAACCGTGCATTAAAAATGAAAGGAGGACACTTACTGGAGACATGATTTCTCCATATTTTCCCCGGGTCTGTGCACCCTATCAGCGCACTTCAAAAATCTCCCGCCTTGCGCTCCCAATAATTGTGATCTTGGTCTTGAACCAAGTCACTGGCCCCAATCAATGCTTGAGAATGCTTTCCAGTACAACCCGGTCCACCCAGTAATACACCCGGAATTGCAGAAATCGGGCTTGAGAGTCCCATTCTGCCACTTTCACATTCATAACATTGCTCTAGAGCCCCTTTGAACACTTGATTGATTGTATGGGTAGCGAATGGAGGTTTTTGCACAAGGATGTGGGGATGGAGGGGAATGATTCAACAGATTCCAGCAAGGTGGAAACAGTCATTCCCTGGACCTGTGAACAGGCTAAGATCTGGAGAAATGAATTCTCCAGACTTCCTTGTTTTCAAGATGGTTTTTCATGGGCTGATTGTTGAGAAAGCGTGGGTGTGGTTTCTGGGCTCCTCTTCAAATTTGTGCACCTCAGGTCAACCTTTGTGCAAGCAGCTGTAACACAGGCTTGGAGGTATGAAACCACAGAAAATGCTCAGTGAGTGATAAGTAACAAGTGATATCCTGTATGTTGGAGGCAGAATGCAGTGACTCCATCCTCTGCAGCTGTTGTTGTTGTTGCAAGAATGGATGTGTGTCACAAACAGAACAGAACCCCACATCCTTACTATAAGTCACCGAACATGATGCAAGCAGCATGGATCACAGTGTAGCAACTAGATGGTAAAGTGTACTGACATTGTCAAAAAATGCTAGAGTAAGTGCTCTGTGGAATTTGGTCAAGATGCAACTGACACATTAAGCAACAATAAGTACTCCTTTCCATTACTGTCTGTCTGTCTGAGTGAGGATGTGTGAAAAGATAATGTCAGATGAATCTCTCTGTACCATATTGTCAAAAGCATATTCGTGAACAGATGTGTCTTCTTGTATTCTAATCATGAGCTTGACAGACCTCTATATTATATGCATAGAATCCAAACTTTATAATTATCTTTGTTTAACCTGTGCAGGAAGGAAAGTCAAACTGTCCTCCACAAGTTCACATGGACCAAAAGATCACCCAAGGATGTACAAGCTAAAACCAGCCAGTAAATAGGTTCCATATTAAGGCTGTGATCTGCATTATGGAATTACTCTGTAATTCATGATCGCAGAATGAACACCATGAGCTACCAATGTAATTCTGCTCACAGAGTTCCTTGTAGCACCAAGACAACTGCAAGTGATTAACAAGATAATGTGTAATAATATGTCTCAATTTGAGGCTTCACATGTGACCCAGAAGAGGTCACGTCCTGTAGTCAGAGAAAATCTGGAACAGAAATGTATAGTGTAGAGACAGACAAATACAAAGCGCTGACGTTCCTACCTGGAACAGAAGCGCTACTAGTCAAACCTAAA